GATTCCAATTTCACGTAAAAACATATCCAATAATCATTCAATGCCAAAGAACATGCTTCTACTCGTTTTGATCCCATTGAACGACCCAAATCCCTCAACATGCGATTCATACAAGTTTCATACAATTCAATCAACATAGCGATATGAATGCAGATTTCAAACCTAAAAGAATACTCTAAAGTCAAGGTTCCATGAACTCACCTCGTACGAAGATCGATTAAACTACGATGCAGGGTTTGGCGATGGGGATTTCCTTCTTTCTTCTTCTTCTCCTCCTCCTCCTCCTCCGTCTTCTTCTTCTTTTCCTTCTTCTTATTCTTCTTCTTCTCCTTTTTCTTCTCCTCCCTTTGTCCCACTGCTGCTGTTTCATCGAGAGAGAGAAATTGTGAAACATGTGCAGGCAGCATACGTGTGGTTAAACACATGTACATATATTTAAGAGCAATTTTCTTAAATAGCACTAAAACATAATGACTTTCCCTGAATAGCACCACATGTGTTTTTATTCCAAATGTAGCACTTTTAGTCATTATGCATTAGTCATTATTCAAGTAAATATTCGTCATCACTGGACATTATGGACATTATTAAGTGCTATTTATGGAATAAAACTGTTTAAGTGCTATTTAGGGAAATGACTTAACTTTTAGTGCTATTTAGTGCAAATATTTCTATATTTAAATACCTTAGGGATTTGTGCTACATAATTAATATAGCATAACTCGGGAGAAATACACTTTTTGGCCTAACTTGCTCCCAGTCCAAATCTGTTTGCACCGTTGGATTTGTCTTGTCGAATCCTACACAATGATATAGCTGTTATAATTCATTGAAAAATAATTCTAATTAACCTCGTGTCCATCTCAATAATTAATTAATTGTTTTTTATTAAATTAATTCTGATAGGCCGGATTTCAGGGCGTTACACATAGGGTATTTTTAGAACACAATTAACTTTTATACTTGTTTTGAATACTAATGTCTTATACGATTGAAGTATTATGATATACCTTGAAATAATGTTAATTTGAAATTGTTAACGTGAATATAATTAAGTTTATCAAGTGTTATTTACATTCATCGTATACCATCCACTTCTAACGTTGCTACATGATGTTGCCTCCCCCTGCTAGTTTTCTAACATTCGAAAGTGGGTGGAGGTTGCAAAAGTAAGACATGGGTTCGTTGAGGTGTTCAGGCTATTGGTATTGTTCGGGTCCATTTGAGGTCGAGAGCAATTTATGAAGTAATTAAGGGTTGTTCAGATTGTTATGGATAGCAGAGTATGATATTTAGTATTATTATTATAGTAATTTAGGTTTTATTAAGTGAGCGGAATTATAAGCTCATTCCAGGGTTCTTTACGCTTCTTTCCCTCTTCGCTTTTATTGAACCATTAAGTTAGGTTTATGGTTAGGTAGGGTTTCCTTGTCTCCTATAAATAGGGAAGTAACCTCATTTAGAATAACCAATCAATAAACGAATTACAAACCCTAATCTCTTCTCTTCTCTCAGTTCGACAATTCCCGCCTTCGCCTCAATTTTTCTTCTTCCTCGTCTCATATTCTCAAGAACTTGAAGACGCTCTGAGTCTTCCCATTCCGATACGAGTTCGTATCATTGGTGCTCTCATTGAGAGACTTCAAAAAAAATTGCTTGTCCACCAATTGCCGATCCGAGACAACACAAATGTCCACAGCTGTAATTTTCCTTGGTCACCAGTTGCCGATTCGGAACCAAGAACGAAAAAGGCAGCGTTGATTCAATCTAAAACTAGCAACAACTTTTCCAACCTCAAAATCAAAGAAGGGAGTGTTAAATTATATTACTTCAACATTTTGTTGTTGTATTGCCTCCGTCGTTGCCAAAAATTACTTCGCCACTAGCTATTTTAGTGTGCCGCTACAATCTAATATAATACGAGTTGATTGTTTGTGGCCGCATAGCAATCCTTAGTTTTGGGCCGTAATTGTTGACGCCGAACCATAAGAAATTAAATTGGGGTTTTTATAATAGTCTTGGGTTTGCTTTGACCCACTTACGGAGTATGAAATCAATAATTTGGTGCTACTAATACTTCCGTTTTGGACAAACTGAGTAGTGTGGTGCCACCAAACCTTACGGACTTTTCAGGTTCTCCAATAATTAATTATGTCCAGAAATTGTGTAGCAACTTCCTCTATTGATACACTCATGGTTGATAATCTCTTCAATTTAATAGAGATTGTTTTGCATAAAAAAATAGAATTTGATGAAGGGGGTGCTTGGATTATGCTCAACTTTATGAAATTATCAAGACACTCCGCTCGTTCGCTAATATTCAGGGTCAATCAACTTATGACTTCGTCTTATCTATGTTTGAGGTGGACATCTCATGTTCAATATAGGATGTGGTTCGTGATTCCTCAATTGTGTCGAGTCAAATTACTTTGGAGTTACAAAATTTCAGAACACACGTGCATGGCGCGGTAAGGAACCTCATCAGTGCTCCGTCCGCACCACCAAGTTTGTCCCGTACAGTAACTATGCAAAACATTGATTCTCTTGACCAGGAATCTAAGGAGGAAATTGATGTTGGTCTTATTCCTGACGTTGTTCTCGTGCTCGTTGCCGAGGTTGTTCTTCCAGACGATGTTGATTGGGACAACTCTCATCGCGACCAATGTCTTCAGGTGCAAATTTTCAGAGATGATGTACTTTTTTATGGATGCACCAAAAAAATTCAGATGTCAAGTATTGAATTTCTTATGCAAGCAACAAGTCTCGTGAATGGCTCTATCTCATATTTCCCCCATCACATTCTAAGAGGCATGTTGGTTCATAATTGGCCGAGAAGTGGATTTCGTTTTTTGTTCAGCACCTTTTCTCCGGTCCAAAAGCACGAGTGGGAGCCTCCACCATGAGGACAAGGTGGTTTTCTAAGGGGGTGAGAGTGTTATGGATAGTAGAGTATGATATTTAGTATTATTATTATTATTATTATTATTATTATTATTATTATTATTAAAGAAAAACCTAGATATGAAGTTAGGTTGGGTTACCTCACAAAAAAATATAATATTGACAATGGTGGGTTTACAAATAAATAAATATTTTGATATTACTCCTTGGAATTGGAATGTTTTTTTAAATGTGGGTATCAGAATATGCAATTAGTGTGTAGGAATGATTTTAATAGTCGAATAGTTTTCTACTTGAAATATATGTTACTTGAAATATATGTTGCTAGAAAAACAATAACACTATAATACATGTGAGTTTTTTTGTAGTCAACTATTTCAATTAAAAATAATAATATTTTAGAAAATATGAAACACGAGCTGCATATATTATTTTGAACACGATTTTTTTTCATGGATATTAGAGAAAATGAAAAAAATTATTAAGTCGTTTTAGAACGTGTGTAAATAGCATACATATTGTGAGATCTATGGGATTACTTGCAGGTCATACACAAATTAAGCATAATTATTATTTCGAGCTACTAAATCAGAACTATTAGACTATTGGAGGTATAAAGAATATAAAACACTGAGTGAGTATGTTCAAATAAAAATAATAAGGAGCCAGTAATAAATGAGTAATATCGAATTAGATAAAGCAAAAAAAAGTGACATTTTAAGCAAGGATTAACATAGATAAAGCAAAAAAAGTGACATTTTAAGCAAAAACAGTTAGTGCGTCTTTTTTTAGATGAGGTTTTGAGAGAGAAAAAATTAACATAGATGGATGGCTAATAAAAATTGTATGTAGATAATTATGGTACATAACGTGAACAATCATCTTTTGAAAATTTAATTTTCAGTTTTACATTTTAACATGAAATAATTTGTGTATAATCTGTTAAAAACTTGATTATAGTCATGGCTAATACAACCACTACATTTATTATGCAAGGGAAGTTTTAGGAAAATAATAAAAAGAAAATGTTGTACGTTTCCCTAAAGTATAGATAAGGGTACTATATATTATTTCAAAAAAAAATTGTGTATGCCATTTGGTAATATACGAATCGTAAGTATCAAGATTTTCTTTCTATTTTGAAAATCTTGTTCTTTAATCAATCGTAAGTATAAATACTATTTGCGTACAAAAATGTCTAAATTTAAATTTGAAATTACTTTTATGAACACAAACACTCCTTTCCTAACCAGGTGTGATATGACTTGAAGAAATTTCGAGGACGAAATTGCATTAAGGGGAAAAGAAATGTAACATCCTGAAAACCGGTCTAGAATTTTTTTAAGTTTTTACTACAAATAAAATTTTAAAAAAAATTGAAAAAAGAATTAAAATTTAAGTATGAAAAAAAATTTCCTTAAAAATAGATCACTATTATTTATTTAAAAATAAAAAAATTAGAATACACGCTTTAATGATTTAATTAATAGAGAGGATGAGTAAAAGCAATAAAATTAATTTTGGTTCTCTACTATCTGAATAATATAGTTTGTTCGAGTGAAACTATTTTCTTGACAAATAAATTATGTTAAAATGATGTGTGAAAAATATGGAACTTAACGGTATAAGTTTTATATTTTTTGGGAAATTTTTAATAATAGAAACTGTGAAAATCAGACATGTGATACTGAACCAACGGAACAAGGAAAACCTTTTGTTCTCCTCTCACGCCTAAACTTTTTTTTTGTAACCCCCTGTTAAGGAGAAGGAAGGCGGCGGCCGAGGTTCACCGTGATGCACACGGCTAGGGCGGCCTAAAGAAGGAAGTGATAACTAAGAGAAGACTTTGGGCTAACTAATTAGGATTCTTATTTCTTGCTTTTTAGTTTAGACATACGGCTATATATAAAGCAATACGAAACCCTAATCCTAATCCTGTCGGTTCAAGAAAAGCGTCAAGGGAAAGAACCGAAAAGAAAACCCTTGAAGCTCGAATATTAAGGCGAGTGGATTTTCTTAGATGCCATGTTTTTATTTATTTATTTATTCATCTCTTATAATAATAATTCCCGTGTGTATTAGGAACATAGCAACCCCACCAGGTTGCTAGGAAGCGCTTGCAGAGTGGAAGCCCCTGAGCCCAAGAAGCCCGAGAAACAGAACGTCATGGGTTGCATGTTCTAGGCCCGTATCAACTCCCCCGCTGTCGGAATTCGCCTTGTCCTCAAGGCGGAGAGTTGGAAATTGTTCTCGGAGCACATGCACAGGTTCCCACGTGGAGTCATCGTTGGTGCCGTCAGACCATCGAATTAACCATTGCTCTTGAGGATCGCCGTCGACGAGTATGGTGCGACTGCGCAGGGCTGCCACTGGAACAGAGAGGGGGTGATTCTGCACAAACTCTGCTGGCCATGTCGGGGTGGGTATGCCGGCGGCCGGAGTCACGAACGGGCGCAAGAGAGAGACGTGGAAAACATCATGGACTCGGCACCCATCAGGAAGGCGTAGACGACAAGCTACCTGCCCCACACGCTCCAAGACTTGGGTTTGGCGATGGAGTGTTGGCGATATGGTTGGAGCTTGAGGAGGACAAAATCACCTACCTGAAATGACACGTCCCGACGATGCAAATTGGCCGACGCCCGCATACGCTGCTACACCCTCCTAAGGTTGGCCTTCAATTCCTCCAAAACAGCTGCTCGTTCGATAAGAATTTCCTCAATAGCTAGTACTTTGGAGCGGACGGAGGGAGTAGCGAACACGTGTGGTGGGTCACGGCCGTAGAGAGCCTAAAAGGGAGAGACTTTGAGACCCTCATGTCGGCTACAATTGAGAGCTAGTTCGGCCCAAGGGAGGAGGGTTACCCACTTTGTCGGCCGGTCAAACGTAAATGCTCGTAAGTATTGTTCGAGCCCTCTGTTCATCACCTCCGTCTGACCGTCGGTTTGGGGGTGATAAGCTGTGCTAAATTTCAACGTCGTACCGCTCAGCTTAAGAAGCTCTTTCCAAAAAAGACTCATAAAGACGGAATCCCGATCGGAGACGATATCCAAGGGAAACCCATGATGCTTGACAACCATGTCTAGGAATAAGGCTGCCACCCGCGGAGCATCAAACCCCGTAGGTAGGGGTCCAAAGTGGCTGTATTTCGACAAGCGATCCACCACAACGAGGATAGCTGTGTAACCGCGCGATGGAGGAAGGTCGGTGATGAAATCCATGGAGGCCGAATCCCACACGCGCTCAGGCACGGGTAAGGGTTGAAGAAGACCAGCTTGTTTTTGAGTGGAATATTTTGTTGTCTGGCATGATACACATGCCGCGATGAAAGCCCGTACGTCCTTGCACATGCCCGGCCAGTAGAAAACCGTCGCAAGCCGGTAGAATGTCCGCTCAATTCCCTGGTGGCCCGCTAATGGTGAGCTATGAAATTCTTACAGGAGCTGCTGCCTTAAGTCAGATTCTGCGCTAAGGTAAATCCGTCGATTATAATAGAGCACCCCGTCTTGTACTGTCAACTCGGGTGGGGCCATGCCTGCTTCGGCGGCGGCTTTAAGTGCGTCTAGCTCTGGTCTGGTGCGCTGCTCTGCCCGGATTGCATCCATAATAACCGGCATGGGTTGTGATAGTTCCACCAAGGACGCGGCCGTGGTGTCATCGGAGTCGCGCCTGGACAAGGCATCAGCGACCTTACTGGTAATGCCCGCTTTATATTCGATCCGGAATTTGAAACCCATGAGTTTGCGGACGTAGAATTGTTGGTCGGGTGTTTGAATGACCTGTAACAATAGATCTTTGAGGCTCCGGTGGTCGGTCCGGATAACGAATTCCCGGCCCAGTAAATACTGACGCCATTTTTGTACCGATTCAACAATGGCGTATAACTCTTTGTGATATGTCGAGGCGGCTTGGCGTCGTGGACCCAACTTCTTGCTAAAGAAGGCCAAAGGGTGACCCTCTTGTAGCAGCACTGGGCCAATTCCGGAGTTAGATGCGTCAGTTTCGATGTAGAATGTCCGTGAGAAATCTGGGAGCCGAAGTACTGGAGCAGATACCATCGCCGCTTTGAGGCGGTGAAAACTCTCCTCCGCTTGGGGGGGTCCAGTGAAAGCTGTCCTTTTTTAATAACTCTGTCAGTGGGGCGGCAATTGAAGCATAGCCGGAGATGAAACGCCGATAATACCCCGTGAGTCCCAAGAATCCCCGTAACTGGGTGACAGTTTTGGGTTGTGGCCATTGGACCATAGCCGAGATTTTCCCTGGGTCGGCTTTGAGGAACCCCGCAGTCACCAAATGTCCCAGATAATCGATGGTGGTTTGGCAGAACGAGCACTTAGATAGCTTCACAAAGAAAGAATTATGGCGGAGCACCCCGAGTGCCGTATTGAGATGATTGGCGTGTGTTTCCAGATCCGGACTATAAATGAGGATATCGTCAAAAAAGACGATAATAAACTTCCGAAGGTAGTTGCGAAACACCTGGTTCATAGTAGCCTGAAAGGTGGACGGAGCATTTCTAAGGCCGAAGGGCATGCCTAAGAACTCATAATGTCCGTCATGGGTACGGAAAGCAGTCTTGAAGGTGTCGGCTTCGTGCATCCGAATCTGGTGGTATCCGGCGCGCAAGTCCAGTTTAGTAAAGATCCTGGCAGTACCCAATTCGTCAAATAATTCATCGACGGTGGGTATGGGAAAGTGGTCGGGTATCGTAGCTGCGTTCAATGCCCTGTAGTCGACACAAAAGCGGAAAGTTCCATCTTTCTTTCGCACCAATAGAACGGGAGATGAGAACGGGCTCTGGCTAGGACGGATGATGCCCTGATGAAGCATTTCTTGGACTTGCCGTTCGATTTCTGTTTTTTGGAAGTACGGGTAACGATATGGCCGGACGTTGATGTGTTTGGTATTAGGCTCCAGGTGAATCCGATGGTCCCAATCTCTCGCAGGAGGTAAGGCCGTGGGAGTGGTAAAAACGGCGGCATGGGACTGCAGAATCGTTGTGATAGAAGCCGGCACGTCCGAAGGGAACTCTGGGGCTGCCGTGACTGGGAGAGCGCCCGTAGGGGCTGGTACTAGCTCGTAGAATTCCAGCGGCTGCTGGGTTGCCACCAAGGTGCATAAATGTCCGTAGGAGATCGGCTTGGGGGCTGGGGTACCACCCCGGAGTTGTACTGTCGCTCCATTCCAGGTGAATTCCATGGTGAGATTAGCGTAGTCGTGAGAAACCTTGCCGAGGGTTTGGAGCCATTGTACACCTAGCACCACGTCCGGCCCATGGATCTCCAACAAATAGAGGTCGATTGCAAATATGTGGCCTTGCAATGCGACGGCAGTGTGTGGGCACGAATATGAGCATCGAAGAGACTCCCCGTTTCCGACGTAGACCCGAAAGGGTGTCACAGGGTAGAGCACGAGTGAAAGCTTCTCCCCAACGGTGGGATGAATAAAGTTATGGGTGCTACCACCGTCCAACAAGACATGCACCGGGGAGTTGTTAATGTCACCAGTGAGGCGGAGGGAACGTGGGCTAGGACTTCCTGCTAAGGAGTGCAAACTGGAGATATCGCCTGTAATATCCAAATCCTCCGTGATAGGGTGCTCGTTGAGGTCCTCAATGGGCACAAGTTTCTCGTCATCCGGCCCCATAAGAGCGAGAAAACGGCGTTTGCAACGATGAGTGGGATCCCATTTTTCCTCGCAAAACCAACACAGACCTTTTTTCCCTCGTTCGGCCTTTTCGGCGTTGGTTAACCGTACGACGGGTAAGGAATTGACAGAGCGGTTGTCTGGTGGTTTGGGCGGGGTTGTGTGAGATGGCGTGGATATACCCAAAGGCTGCCCAGCCGCAGGTGGGCTGGGGCTAGGCCGAGGAGATCCCCACAGACGCCTGCTAGAGGAACCGAAAGCAGCCTGGGCATCCTGCCGGCTTGCGGCGTACTCGCGAGCCAGGGCGAACGCTTCCTGTAACGTGCCGGGGGCACGAAGGTTAACCTCATGTTGAACGGGTTGTTTGAGACCCGCGATGTACATAGCAATAAGCGTTGGTTCGGGCACGCCGGCGACTTTGTTCAAGAGAGCCTTAAACGACGATTGATAGTCCATGACCGTCGTTATCTGGTGTAACTTGGAGAGCAGCCCGATGTAGTTTTCATAGTAGTCGGGGTCGAATCGCTGCCGGACCGCAACCAAAAACGCCATCCAGGAGACGTTGCAATTGTTGGCTTGATAATAACGGAACCATTCTGACGCCGGGTGGTCGATGAGCATGGCCACCAAGTGAAGACGCTCGGCCTCGGGAGTAAAAAAGTAATCAAAGTACTTTTGGATGCGAAAGATCCACCCAACGGGATCCTCACCCGAAAACCGAGGGGCATCGATGCGCATGCGCGGGATAGGATCTGTAGCGGTGGGGAACTGAGATGTGCGTGAAGCAGGTGGGCGCCATGCAACTGATGGTGGCCGGTACGGTGGAGGGCGCCGCATGTTGTCGTGGGGTGGTGTATTACCTGCGGCCAGAAGTTCCGCTACACGGCCTTTGGTCACGTCCAATTCCTTGGCGAGATAGGATTTCGTAGTTTCCAATTCCTTCCCCAAATTGTTGATGGCGCGCATGACATCCTCCATCGTGAGGGCAGGACGGGGTTGTTGGTCGTCGGAGGAAGGGGTGGCCATGAGTGCGGGAATGAGATCGGAATGAGAACACCAGTTGTTAAGGAGAAGGAAGGCGGCGGCCGAGGTTCACCGTGATGCACACGGCTAGGGCGGCCTAAAGAAGGAAATGATAACTAAGAGAAGACTTTGGGCTAACTAATTAGGATTCTTATTTCTCGCTTTTTAGTTTAGACATACGGCTATATATAAAGCAATACGAAACCCTAATCCTAATCCTGTCGGTTCAAGAAAAGCGTCAAGGAAAAGAACCGAAAAGAAAACCCTTGAAGCTCGAATATTAAGGCGAGTGGATTTTCTTAGATGCCATGTTTTTATTTATTTATTTATTCATCTCTTATAATAATAATTCCCGTGTGTATTAGGAACATAGCAACCCCACCAGGTTGCTAGGAAGCGCTTGCAGAGTGGAAGCCCCTGAGCCCAAGAAGCCCGAGAAACAGAACGTCATGGGTTGCATGTTCTAGGCCCATATCACCCCCCTATTCATTTCTCATCATTAAGGGAGTAATGTCAAGAATTAGTGATATTTTTATTTTAGTTAAAAATAATAATAAAAAATAATTTTAGAGACCATCCATGCACCCCTCCCCTCCATCTATGAATAGGAGCCTAGGATGGTTAGGTTAGGTTACTTGTTTTGTTAGAGTGTTCGGAGGGGGTAACGTGGCGTGATAGCGGGGAGGTGCTACCGAGATTCTGCCAGATTACCGTTTGTTAACAAAATTTAGGGTGTGCCGTTGACCCTAACCTTTAAATATATATTTAATGTTAATATATTTTTGTGCATTTCCTTTTATTTTTTTATTAACATGAATTCACTCTTTTAGATCATAAATTAAAAGAGGAAGATAATAATCATAATAATAAAAAATATATACATGTTGCACATAAATTTCACTTGGCTTCAAAAAAAAATAAACAAAAAGAAAAGTGTAATTACACACTTTCAGTAATGGATAAAGAATGAACTTTTTATTCTTTAGTATCATTGTTACTATTATTGTTATTATTATTATCATTAGTACCATTATTATCTTTGCTATTAAAAAAGGTTATAACCGAAGGTTAAGGAAAAAAATAATTGATAACAAAAAAAAGATTAGTATAATGACTTTTCACTCGGTAGTAGTTTTAACGAAAAACAGTTTGTTATTTTTAAAAAAATAGTTTGGCTTTATAAATAAAGAAGGGCCGAAGGTTTTAAAAAAATATTAACCAGGGTAAACCTTCTGTTTAAATAAATATATACATATATATCAAACTCTTATATGACAAAAGTATTGGATGTGCAAATGAAATGAAACTTACACTTTAAAATGAAACTTTGCGAAGGAAATGAAACTAGTATATGCCAAAATGTTGGATGTGCCGAACTAAAAGCTAACACTTTAAAATTTGCTTGTTTCCTACTTTTATTATTATTACCATTTTTTAGGCAGAATGCAACTTAACTGATTTAATAAGGTGGGTGACGTTATGAACAGAAGATAACAAGTGAGTGTTGTAAAGGGTTAGTTATAATGTGTGTATATTTATGCACTTCTGATTGGTGAAAAAAAAGTTTTGTTGTTTGCATAACAATTGGATGTTTTAGATGGAAGAGGGATTTTGAATGATAAATGATTTTCGAAAAGGGTTGCGTTTGAAGTTAATAAAAGTGATTTATCTAAATGATAATACAAAGGTTAACCAATAGTTAGTGGACGAAGCAAAAACTTTATGGTTATCTTAACGACGTACTCTAACCAAGTATTGTCACGTTTTTACTAAGTGGGTCAAACCACGTACTTTCAAGGCCGGACCGTGTCCATGCGGATGAGCCTATAAATAATCATACCACAACGTGCGCACGAGAACCCGACGATGACCCCGTGGGTCTAGGGTTCACTTCTGATTACTGGACCCGAGGTCACGGGGAGGTATCCGAAGTAAAACTACGTATCGACTAGTGCGGGGTTCCAGCCTAGTCACGGCTTAGTCTTTAATCTGTGGTTAACTTAGTAGGTCAAGAGTTTTCTAAATGTCCCCAAGTAACTGTTCAAAGTGAGGTGAATTCCCTAATGTTTGGTTTTTTTGTTCTTTATGCAAAAAGATTTTTTTAAAAATCGAATAACTTAAAATGCCCAAAATATATCTACATGTTATATATGTCTATTGGTTATTTGCCACTCAACTTATGCTGAGCGTGTAGTGTTTAACTGCACGCAAGTACTAGCAAAGGAAACAACTGCTGAGGAGGAAAGCTTGGATGTGGCGGCCGTGCCGAAGGAGTTCTTATTTCATATTTAATACTCCCTCTGTTCTCAAAAACACTTCCTCTTTCATTTTTTCCACTTCCAACAAAACACTTCCCTTTTCTATTAAAAAACCACTTTTACTCTTACTTTTTCGTACCCTACCTATCACATCATACTTTTTCTCTAATAATCTATCCATCACATCTTACTTTTACGCATCACATCAGGGGCAAAATTTAAAATCAACTATAATTTAACACTTCCTTATTTTTGTCCTAAATCAAAAGTGGAAGTCTTTTTACAAATAGAGGGAGTAATGAATAAAATGTTGAACTTAATTTACATTGTTTTTGGGCTTGAACCGAAGGTTGTATTAACTATGGATGTTTTTACTTTAAGCTTACGTGAAAAACGTTTTTTAAAATTCTCTTTAGTTATCAAAAAGAGAATATATTTCGGATATATAATATTTTACAAAGTAATCTGATTTTACTAGCACTTTGGTCTGGATAACTTGGGTCACCCAGGGTGGGGTGTTACATTAATATTATTGTAATTTAGGTTTTATTAGGTGAGCGAATATATAAGCTTCTTCGAAGTTTCTTTACGATTCTTTCTCTCGTGTCTCGTCGCTTTTATTGAACCGTCAGTTTAGGTTTATGGTTAGCTTGGGTTTCTTTGTCTCCTATAAATAGAGATGTAACCTCATTTAGAATAACCAAGCAATAAACGAATTACAAACCCGGCCTAATCTCTTCTCTCGGTTCGCCGATTCCCTCCTTCGCCTCAATTCTTCTTCTTCTTCGTCTCATATTTTCAAGAGCTTGAAGACGCTTTGAGTCTTCCCTATCAGATACAAGTCCATACCACGGATCCACAGTTTTGAATGGTAAAAATTGGTATGGAACATTTTTTGAGAGACTTCAGGGATTTTGGAGAAATGAATTGTGCGAAAAATGACCAAAATTGGTATTGTATTTATAGGAAGTAATTAAAATATTTAAAAAATATTTACTTCAAGCCCCAACGTATGTATGTCACTAGAGTTACCACGATGGTGGTTGCGCTCAGGTCGATCCAGGCGGGTTATGAGGTTAGTGGCACGGCGGGGCATGACACCCGATAATCAAGCCCGACTTGCGTCCCATAACACTAGCCTTATGCTCATAGAGTAACTCGCTCGTAAGACTATTAATCTCCACACTATTAACTAAAAGTGATAAAACGATTGATAAGAAAATTAAATCGCAAAGTAGTTGTATATATTTGGAAGCAAGGTATTAAGTGACAGTTTTATCCAATGCTTTCTCTCACTGTTATGTTGTCTTCTCCTCCTTGTGGACTTGTGGGTAAAATTAAGTAAACAGAAAATGGAAACTACGTGGAAATGCAGACCAATGCGCAGGGGTAGTTATGGAATTTGACAATCTGCTTCATCAGTTTCAGTAATCAATTAATGCTCAAGATAAGAGGCAGAGAGGACATAAATTTGAAAAACAGTCAAACTTGCAACTAGCTACTCTCCTGAAAAGATGCGAGGGAGGAGTGTGACTAACATGCTTTTTAATATTCCTCTCAATTTTTTTGGCAATCTTCTAAATTTAAAATTCGTTTAGAAATATTTGATGAGGGCTAATCTTAAAAATAATGGAATAATTATATTACTCAAATTAAAAAAATAATGGAATACATAATATAGTATATATAGAGGGGGTTATAATTCCAATTAAAAATAGAAGTGAAATTTGCACTAAATAGGACTAAAACATAAGTCATTTTCCAATGTAGGATTTAAACTTTTTTATTCCTTAAATAGGACAAGCTTAATAATGACTAGTAAGAATAATAATATCCAAGTGATGCTGGACATTTAGTTCAATAATGACTAATGGATAATGACCAATGGTCCTACATTGGAAAATAAAAACATATGGTCCTTTATTGAGAAAGTCATTATGTTTTAGTCCTATTTAGGTAAATTACCTAAAATAGAAATTAATAATAGAAGCTGATTAAAATACAAAGACAACTATAACAATTATTATTATTATTATTATTACTATTATTATTATTATTATTATTATTGTCTAACATTCTCCCTCAAGATGAACTCGCGTCACGAGAGAAATAGTGACATATGCAGCTTTGAAGCTCTTCAGTCACGAACATGAATATTTTGGAGAGAAAAAGGGATAAGGAACCGCAACTCTTAGACACACTCATAATTTATTTTTGTAGAGAAAGAGAAAGATAAGAGATGGCGGCTATTACGAACTACCATACTTATTCTTATTCTTATTGTCTAACAATATTGATGTAAGATTGTTACGCCAATTCAATTAAAGCATCTATGGTATTTCGATCATAAAATTGATTGTTTCTATTCAAATCTTTATATCATGCCTCGGTTAAAATGAAACCTTTGTTTAAAGGAAAAAAGACAAAAGTATGAGCAAAACATTGAAAATATATCAAAATAGGAGTTCTGTATTTTTATTTCCAAAATAGAAGTTAAAATGCATTTACATTACCAATCATGACCATGCACATTATGTAAAGTATACATGTACAGTGCCACATTACCAAAGTGCAAACTTTTATTTAGAGAATAAAAACATTACACCCTTATTTTGGTACTTTTCTATGTTTTAGTCTTATTTAAGATTATTTCTTTTATTTGAAACATAGTACTTTCTGGTCGAACCAAGGATAAAAGCATAGTGTGTCATTTTTGTCAAGTCTAAGAGTTTGTTCTTTTAGATTGGAAAAAAAAACTTCCAACTTCTTCTAACGTCTTCCAATTTCTTTCATTGACTTAAAAGATCAAAAAGCATTTACAATAAAATCATATATAGTATATCCAAATTAAAAAATATCACCTCAAATAAAAACAAAAATGAAATATTTTTTCCAAATTTAATTTTCTTGAATATTTATTTGTGAGATCATTTAATTCGGTGATTTTTTGAACACTTTTAACTTTTTTAACATTTCTTTCTTTTCAGTTTAGAATTCCAAGAGAAAAGAGCCGGTGATCTGCTCCCTCGTTTACCACTTAATTAATTACGTGATCTTCTCCGTCAAGAGGAATCAAGATGTTGTGTTGACCAACCCACGGAGGACTAATAGGTTAACTTTTTGCTCTAATCAACGGAGGAGCTATATCCAACCATAGGCTTTTAGTTTTTGTTGTGTTGACCAATCCACATGTGACAAAAGTTAAGACAACCAAATGCTAGGTATTCCCAAAGATGGCTGGAAATTATATTATACAATCGGCTAAACATAAAATTGGGTACAAGCGGTAAAACGAGAGAGGAAGAAGAGCGTCGACAAAATCAAAGGGGCAAAGGAGGGCGACGAAAATCAAAGCGGTGCTCTATAAATTAGTCTCGATCGAATACCGGCGAAGGAAAGGCGCACTGACGACAACAAAGGAGAGCTACTGTCGGTCGTGGAAGGAGAGGTGCTCCTTCGATCAAGGAGAGGCGCGAGGATGAAAAACCCTAGAGTTGTGTTTTCGGGTCGGGTTGGGTAGGAGCGAAAGAAAGTTATTTATTGTATGAATTGTATTTTGCTTGCGGATAAACACTAAGTTATTTGAGAATGAGTACTGTTTTTTTCAAGAATAAACAGTACGTTATTCACAGATGAATATTATAATTGTATTGAACGAATGTGTGAAAATGAGTACTACGTTATTTTAGAATTAGTATCACGTTATTTCAAAATGAACAATTATATTTATTTGAGAATGAGTACTACTTATTTCAGAATGAGTAGTACCCGAATGTACCTATATCTTGGTACAGCCGGTTGTACCATATACTATACTTTTTCAAAGATTGCACTCCAAAATATACCCCACAGATTTATGCTTGCATTTTGATGGCTTACATTGACACAAAATATCAGCGCAATCGCAAAATTTTGCTCATATATTTTGTGACAATGTAAGCCATCAACCTCGCACTTACGTTGATACAAAATGTAAGTCTAAATCTTTGAAGTACATTTTAGGGTACAATCTTTGAGGGTAAAAGTAGGTTTATTCAAATTAAGAATGACTATGTGCAAGTATTCCTCCACGTCTTAATTTAATCTTTCTATTTTAGATTGTAACTTTTTTTATTTAACTTACTTTTAAATATCTTTAATATTCGTACATAATATAAAAGTACATTGATATGCTTAAAATGTACATGAAAATTTATGAAAAATAAAGAATGATAGAGCTATACTTAGGGTTTTATTCTATCATATACTCTTGCAATCGCAAAATTTACTCATATATTTAGTGACTGTTTACCTCAAGTCGAGGAGCTTGGGCCACTACAAACGGGGAATTAAAGAACGAAGCTTCACATCCCCAAGTTTACACACCGAGTGTTGCATACTTTAAGCGCAAAACTTGAACAAACGAATAGAACAACAATCCACGAAATAGTGAAAGAACACACAAATGAAGTAGAAGAACGAAAAATTGATTAAAGAAACAAGTCAATCAACCAAAAGACTAATCAAACAAACTTGAAACAGCTTAAGAAATGCTACATTACCCCATTTTCCAAAGAGACAAGCATAAACATTAAACATTCGTAATGCCGATGCGTGTTTCTCCTCACCCAAAACAAACTTTCTAATTAATTTAAAAGAGAAGTCATACTAATTCCTAGCTAGCTAATTAAGATATATATGGCTACAACACAAATGAATTATATATATTCCCCCCTCACCAATGAAGCACCAATTCTTGCAAGAATGTGAGCTTTATATAGACTCTAAGAAGCTAGCATAACGTCGTCAAACTATCAATCAATCAGAATTGAAACTCCGGATCTCTGTATGAGCCTCCACCATGCAACCCCTCCTGCAAAAATTTAAAAAAAAAAAGTAAAAAATAAATAATGATACATAAACAAATTAAATATAAATAAACAAATAATTAAATCTTGTAAGAAGAGACCCTCGAGTTTTTAGTGCCATGAACCTGCATCTCCTCCTCTCTCTTATCTTCATTCTTATTGTCAACTCTTTTGGAGCCAATGTGAGACTTTCTGAGACCCAAAAAGCCTTTCCACCTGGCAGAGCTCTTGGGGGGCTTGAGAGAAGAAAAATCAGAATCCTCAACAAGAAGCTCGTCCTTGAGAGTGGTGGGCCTAGTACTATTAGGGGCAGCCACGGGGCGGGGTGTCTCTCGGTAGGGCAGTAGCCTGCCCTTGGAGAAGAGCTCGTCCGCGGTCATGGTCGTCATGGGGTGCTGGTTGGAGACCGAGAACTCGAAATCGGTAGAAACCGGGGCGTCCCTGTAATAGGACCTGCTGGATTCGACAAAGTCGTTGGAGAAAGAGATCCGAGGGCTCATCGGGGGTGGTGGCTTGTGGTCGGAGCTTTGGTTGTTGTTGTTGTTGTTGTTGTTGTTGTTGTTGTTGTTGTTGTACATTATGATGAGGATGTCTAATTGAAGCATACATGCCATGGAAGGGAGGGAGGGGGAGAGTTCGATCTGTTTAGACCAACATTGGCTCAAACTTAGCTTGGCCTCAGCTCGTGTAGCTGGCTAACTATATGTAATGGTCCGTAAATGAGTTCAGTTAGGGCAGGGGACCCTCTAATACTGTCCCTTCCAGCAGGCAAGTAGATGGGTGCATTTATATCGACATAGTTAGGACAAACTCTATCTGGCTTCTTTGAAAAATATTGAGTCAAAGATGAGTAAATTTTGACCCCAAATCAGGAATAGGTACTTGTGTCTTGATCCATTTATACTAGGGGTTTTTGGTAAAACGCCTTTTAAACTAGGGGGTGCATAGAGTATGTACATTCAAACACACCCCCGTGTCTAGACCCGGGAAGAATATAATCGCAAACTATTATTCGAATCGAAATATTTGAAATTGAATATAAAATAAATTGAAAACCCAATCTATAACTAAAAAATCGGTTTGATATTCATAATCGAACAGATTAAATAAATCCCGAATTAGGTCTGAAACTAATTTGATTTGAAATCAATTAGAACCAAGACCCAATCGAAACCAAAAGACGATCAGAACGAATTCCGGTTAGATTTCGTATCAGTAATATTCAAAATTGATCAAGCCCAAAAATAAATAAAGTCACAACTCATTATTGACGAATTAACTATTCCCTCTCTTAAGAATTAGATTAAATAATTTGAATCATGTGCAAAATCTCGTGCTTTTTAAATTTAATCAATTAACAAATTGGTGTAGAAAGAAATAAAAAATGCAACTTATAATTTAAAAAATAACATCGAAAGTTCTACAAAATAAGGGTTGACAAAAATATTATATTTTTTAAATTAAATGGGGAATAAAAATATGTAAACAAATAAAAATCATCGAGAGACCATAATAATAACGGTGTAATCTATTTTGGAAAGAAAGGAGTATATATGAGTTATGGTAGAAATAATACATCTATAATCTACATAAAGGATATTCATAGAATGGGAGACCTAACAAACTCAACTCTCTTCGTTTATCTCTCTCTATATATCTATCTTTGTTTCTAATCTCACCTTTCTCTGATTATTGCTCTCTAGAGTAGAGCACAATTGACCATTGTGCTACTTACTCCGTCTTAAAACGTTCCTTTTCAGTTACTATTCACATTATCAAAATTTAATTATTATTTGTTACCTATTTTTGTTAGTTATTTCATACTCCCTTTGTTCCAATTTAAATCACATGTTTTGATTTACGATGTTTAACTTGGCTGAAATTATTTTCAAATCATTTTATGTGAAAAATGGTGTACAATAAAAATTACACATTTAAAAACTATATTAAAATATGTACAAAATTAGTGGTGACATGATGATATTATTTTATCAAATGACTGATGAAAATAGAAAAATAAAGTGAACGAAGTTTGACCCTGTAAATAATAAATTAATATAGTCTTGTCATCTCTGGTTTTTTAGAACTTTTGATGTCGGTTTTAAACACACACACACACTTTATTTTTAACTTTAAACCTACAATCAAATAAGTTGAATTAAAAATAAAGTCGGTCAAACCTCGTAAATGAAAATGGGAAGAACATTTTAGGATGGAGGGAGTATTAAGTAGTGATTGAAACATAAGAATATTCTGAGACCTAATAAGAGATTACATGTACTATTTAAAATTTTAACAACTGAATAGATTATCAAAAAAGAATGCTTGAACACTTAGAGCATATTCTTTAGAACTTAAACTCTTAACTTCCAGTTTATTCAAGTTCTTTCCAGTTCTTTTCAGTTTCTTTTAGTTTCTTACAGTTCTTCTAGTTCCTTTTAGTTCCCTCCAGTTCCTTCCAGTTTTTTCCAGTTTCTACCAGTTTCTTCCAGCTATTTTTATTTTCTTCAAAATCTTCCTACTTCCCGACCAATTACTCTAAAACGATATTATATTATTATTGTTATTATTATTATTATTATTATTACAATTATTATGTTCATATAAATTATTTAATTTTTTCATCTCATTATTTTTATGATTCACACTCATTATTATTTTTTCTTCAACTTTTAAATATGAATAATACCATTTTTTTGTTTATTAATCTACATGATAAAATAGGAAAAAACAATATTTTAAACTATTTAAATATTATGGATAAAATAGTTACATAGAATATTTTTTTAATCTAAAGTTATATAAGGAAAACATAAATAAAGAGAAAAAAGAAAAAAAGCCGGGAAACGAATAGATAAAAATATATCCTTATATAGAGAAAAAAGAAAATAAATAGGGAAATGCCATGTTGAAAAATTCCTTATCATTATAACCAGTAACTTAATACTTCATGTACTATCTCATATATATCCTCTCTGAGGATTGTGTTGATCCTTATCTCTTATCTTTGATTGATTGTATGTTGTAGATGGTGTTTATCCTAATCCTTCGACTGATTATTACTTTGTGATGGTATTGGTTATGATGTTCTTCATGATAATAATAATAACAGATACAGAAAACAATCTACAAAAAAAGGTCGGGGAACGAAAAAACGAGCACAGAAAAAGACCTCTCAGCTTTCTCTTTATTACTCAATTTTTTCTTATTCTTATTTATATCAAAAATTAATTTTGTGTTTCATTTTTCTAATTTTTTTAAAAAAATTTGAAAGTCAAAATAGTTTAGAGAAAAAGATTAAAGTAGAAATAAAACATAAAAAAATGTAAAAAAAAGTTCTCTGTCTTTATTCCAAAAGTAGGGTAACAATGAAAATAAAATGTCAATCATTAAAGAAAAAATAGGTTTGATTACATTATGTGACATGTATGATATTTAAAATAAAATCTTGTAATATATAAAGTATAATTACAAATGTATTATTTTATGATAAATATTGCATAAATAAAGTGACGTGCAACGTAGCCACAATAACTTTTAAATATTTAACATTTTGATATTTATGTTTGTTGGCGTGAGACATTAGAAGAAGGAAACTGAATCCTGTATGTTGGGATTCGATTTAGTATCTTTCCTACTTTGCTTAGTTCTTGTTTTAGTAGAAATAGAAATATGGTATGAATAAAAGTTTATTTATATGCTTTATTCTCTTCTTATATAGAGAGCGTTAGACCTTTGTAATCTCGAAGACAATTCAAGACAGACAATATTTTCTCCTCCTATTATTTTCTACATGGTATCAAAGAAAAGTTCTTGGTGACCTAAAATTTTCTGTGTTCGCTCCTGGCAGGCGGTACGACCATTAGCCGCCTGTTGAGTCGTTGTTCTTCCTCCAATCCAAATTTTCTACCACTACCAAACTGCCAACACTTCAAATCTAAATCTTACCCATATTGAATCACAAGAATCATCAACATATATTCCATACTCTTTCCACCGATCACCTTGCCAAAAAAACAAATCCATATTGGTTTGTGGAAAGTGTCGCACCAATTGTCAGGGTCTCTTTGGCTGCAAGTCACTCCCGTCATCTTTAGAAAGATGTCCTTCTCAATGAAGAATATAACTCATGAAGAAATTGTCCGAAAAGGGTTGTTCTACAGAGATAGACAACTCTTTATTTTGCAAGTGGAAAAAAATTGGCGTTCAGAATGTTCGAAAAGAATGACGTTCGTCTTGTTCGTTTGAATTCGATGAGGGTTCGAAAAGAATGGCGTTCCTTTACTCGATTATTTATTTGGCGGATTCTAAAAGAGTGGCGTCTCCGTCGAAGAAGAAGAAAATTTATTTCTTGAAGTGTTCGGATGACAATTGAACAAAAATAGTTTGATTATGTCTTGTCCAAGCTGGGCATTCGGAACCCCCATGCTCCAGCTTGAGGGGGGTGTTGGCGTGAGATATTAGAAGAAGGAAACCGAATCTTGTTGGGATTTTATTTAGTATCTTTCCTAGTTTGCTTAGTTTTGATTTTAGTAGGAACAGAAATATGGTAGGAATTAAAGTTTACTTATATGCTTTACTCTCTTCCTATATAAAGAGTGTTAGACCTTTGTAATCTCGAAGACAATTCAAGACAGACAATATTTTCTCCTCCTATTATTTTCTACAATGCTATTTTTATATTCTAATTATTTTTTTTGCAAAAGTAGTTTTTTGTATAAAAACTTAAAATTTTTTTATCTTAAAAATATTCATTAGGATAACGTGATGACAACAACAACAATAATAATAACAATAATTAGAATTTATAAAAACAAGAGTTAGAATGAGAATAATATAAAAATACACAAAAATTTTAACGTGTTTTTAGATTGAGTAAATTCCATAATTGGTCCTTTATAACAGGGGGGTTTCCATATTTAGTCCTCTATTATCAAATATTACCCTCGTAGTCCTTTTTTTAAGGGTGCCTTTCCACAAATGGTCCTTTTTTTGATCTTCCACCCTATGGGTGTTAATTTAAAGGCTAAAAGTATAATTTGACATCAACATTATGTCTAGTGACGTGTTCTTATATTGGTTAAGCGGATAACACAAAAATAATGACTATGATTGTGGGCTAGGATTCCGACGAAAGACTACATTTGTAGACTATGGTTGTAGTAGGAAACGAATGTAATTCACAAACGATGCAAACGGAACAACTTTTGGAATTGTGTATGAAAAAAAAGATATATTATCATTGTGAAATTACACTTTTATCCCTCAAATGAACTCCAACCAGATCGAAAATCAAAAAAGGACTATTTGTGAAAAGATACCTATAAAAGAAGGACCACTGCGGTAATATTTGATAATAGAGGACTAAATAGGGAAACCCCCCTGTTATAAAGGATCAATTATAGAATTTACTCTTTTAGATTTTCCAATTTTTTCTAGTTTTTTTAGTTTCATTTAATTATTTTCATTTTCTTCCAGTTCTTCTAGTTACTTCAAGTTCTTCTAATTTCTTCCCGTTTGTTCGAGTTTCTTCCCATTTCTTCCAACATCCAGCTATTTTTTCTAGTCTTAAAGAACAGGCTCTTAGTAAGGAGTGCAAAAAGTACTCCCTACATCCTAAAATTAACAACTCATTTGACTTTTTACGGTCTCCAATTTAACACTTTGACAACCAATATTTCTATTAATATAAAAATACGAAGTATATATTATAAAAGTAAAATGTTTCAAAACTATGTTTCAATTTATTTTTTTC